AACTACATTTTGCAGACATGCAATAAAGTTCTGAAGTTCCAGCAAACAGTTGTGACATTTGCACTCACAGTTTAGAGAATGTTAAGATTGTTTCGAAAAATGTGCCAAAGCAATTGAGAAAAACTGTAATATCCTATAATATAATGTCAAAAGGCATTAATATTATTTTAAAACTATGTTTTATCTAGAATTGTTATACTCTCATATGTGAAAACACGTCTACATGCCGTGAGTCCTCCTCTGTCTGCAGAATAAACTGCAGCGGATCAGATGTGAGTCACTTTCTCTCTGACAGCCAGACAGAGAGACAGACAGACAGAGAGACAGACAGACAGACAGACAGACAGACAGACAGACAGAGTCGTCCAGCTCCCTCTGACAGCCAGACAGAGAGACAGACAGACAGACAGACAGACAGACAGACAGACAGAGTCGTCCAGCTCCCTCTGACAGCCAGACAGAGAGACAGACAGACAGACAGACAGACAGACAGACAGACAGAGTCGTCCAGCTCCCTCTGACAGCCAGACAGAGAGACAGACAGACAGACAGACAGACAGACAGACAGACAGAGTCGTCCAGCTCCCTCTGACAGCCAGACAGAGAGACAGACAGACAGACTTGTCCAGCTCCCTCTGACAGCCAGACAGAGAGACAGACAGACAGACAGACTTGTCCAGCTCCCTCTGACAGCCAGACAGAGAGACAGACAGACAGACAGACTTGTCCAGCTCCCTCTGACAGCCAGACAGAGAGACAGACAGACAGACAGAGTCGTCCAGCTCCCTCTGACAGCCAGACAGAGAGACAGACAGACAGACTTGTCCAGCTCCCTCTGACAGCCAGACAGAGAGACAGATAGACAGACAGACAGACAGAGTCGTCCAGATCCCTCTGATGCCAGACGTCTGGTCCTGATGGAGATTGTGGCCGTCTGTTTATCTTTCGATCTAGAGGCGCTCAAGGAGACGTCCTATTACAACCATCAGAGAAAAACAGTCTTGTATAATTAGGTCATATTATGCAGTTATATATCAGTAACCTCTACACTGCTCATTCATGTGTGAGGAGAGTACTGGAGAAACAGATTAAACTACTAAACTAAGAGTGGTGTTTTTCATTCCAGCAACCATGCAGAGAACCACAGAAAACCTTTATAAACAACTTGGCAACCACTTAGAACACACTATCAACTGCATAGAAATGCCCTAGCATTCACCTAATAATATTTTAGCAAACCAAAATTGGATCCAGACACACAAACCTAAATTCGGCTTGTACGTGGAGCGAGTGACAGACAGCTGGATGCTGTAATCCGGCAGCAGGAGGGGTCAGAGGTGAGTCAGCTGTCTGTAGGTGTGTGAGACAGGATTACACACACATGAACCAGCAGCACCACACGTGTGACGGGAGCAAGCAGACCGCGTGTGTCTCGATGGAAGATTCTAGTTCATTGAGATGAACGTTAATAAACAATACTCGCCTGATTGAATAAGACTGGTCTTCATTGGTCTTCACTGGATTGAATAAGGATTTTAGGCACCCAGGAACTGTAAATGGGCAGATCTGTGTAAACTGAAGACGCATTGTGACACTACTGGACATATCTGAGACTTTGAGGAGAAACCTTAGAGGATGCCACTTAGAGGATGCTTTTAAATATGACAAGTGGCACTTTATCCTTAAAGACTGAGGAAAAAGGGAGAGGACAGATTTTGTGTGAGTTTTAAAACAATTTTATTTTCTGTAGGACTAGGATGATTATTATTATTATATGTTATTGCTCAGATGTTGCTCCGTTATACTTTACGGAGATCTCAGATGTTCTCCTAAGAATAGAAGACATGAAGATGTCCTTTATAAAAGACAGTTTTGGTCTTTATAATTGTGTATAACATATCTCAAATGACTTGGACTGGAAAGCATTTGATGCGAAATGTTTAAGTTCATATTGAGTTCTCCACATTGGCTCCTGGATTTCTAGACAATACACAATAAATGTGAACATAATTATAGACCATTTCTAGAGTCCCCTCCATCTCAGGTGTTTCTCTTGAGAAAAAAACCCAAGCGATCTCCTTACGAGATTCAGAAGAATTCTCAAAAATATCTCAATATGAACTCAAACGTTTCTTATGTAGTTCTCCAAAGTGACTGTTAGTTTCAAAAAACAATTTTATATCCTGAGTGGTCTTATTTGAGATTTTGGACAAAGAAAAAAAAAAGTTACAAATATTGCTCAAACATTGCTATTTTATAGCTCAGAAAACTTTGTGGAGTTCTCTCAAGATTCCTTAGCAGAAAAAAGACCTGAAAGAGCAGAAAAAGACATGAAAAAGACAGTTTAGATCTAAATGTGAATAACATGTCAGATTATTTGGACTAGGAAGCATTTAATCAGACATTTGAGTTCATATTAAGATCTCCCCGCAGGCAAGAAAATCTCACATTAGATCTATTTAAAGGGTTAGTTCACCCAAAAATGAAAATTCTGTCATTAATTACTCACCCTCGTGTTGTTCCAAACCGGTAAGACCTTCGTTCATCTTCGGAACACAATTTAAGATATTTTTGATGAAATCTGAGGGCTCTCTGACCCTCCCATAGACAGCAAGGTAACTACCACGTTCAAGGTCCAGAAAAGTACCACGATGATCGACAAAGTCTTGTAGCTTCGTAACTTTACAGCTGAACCACTGATGTCACACGGACTACTTTGTCGATCATCTTGGTACTTTTCTGGACCTTGAACGTGGTAGTTACCTTGCTGTCTATGGGAGGGTCAGAGAGCCCTCAGATTTCATCAAAAATATCTTAAATTGTGTTCCGAAGATGAACGAAGGTCTTACGGGTTTGGAACAACACGAGGGTGAGTAATTAATAACAATTAATTACTCACAACAGATTAATTCACAACAGATTTTTCAAAAAACTTTAAATTAGAAAAAAAACAAAAAAAAAACATACAGTAAAATGTCAACTGGAGTGTTCCTCACTGCTTGTGGATTTGGCCACAGGTTCTCATCCACATCATAATGTATGTTTTCATTAGCTAAACATCTTGGAAAATCTGCATCTTCTGGCATGCAAATACAGGCCTGACATTCGTCTCCTCCTGTGACGTCATTGCACGCATTATCTATGGCCTGGAGAAGAGTGACTTGTTTGTGAGGGTGCCTATTGTGAACCTTCCACCTCCATGGTTCTGGACACATCATAATGGATGTTTTCATTAGCTAAAATCTTGGAAAGAAATCTTCTGGCATGGCAAAAATAGGCCTGACATTGGTCTCCTGTGATGTCATTGCACGCATCATCTATGGCCTGGAGAAGAGTGACTTGTTT